TACAACAAAAGACATTTAAATGTCCCTGGAAATCACAGCTAAGGCTTGAGAGAGGGGGGAGGATCTATCTCATTAGTTTTTTCTTTAGTTCTCCAATTCTTCAAACTGGGAGAAGAACACATATTTTCACAACATGCAGAATTTTACCATATTTACATATAAAGCTTTAATTACACAAATTAAGGTAGTGACACATTAAAGACAATTCTTATATTACATTATCTATCCCTACTTTTAGAGGGGAATACTTTGATAATATCTCTTAGCCTTCAAGAGAATATATAATGAGCTGCTGCTTGCCAGGTTTCATGAATCTGCAGAGAGAATAATTTGTTACACAAATATTTCTGATTATTTTTAGTCCCTAGATGAAGAAAAAATGAAACATCAAACTTAAAACCACAGCTAGACAAGCTAAAAGGTTTTGGTATCTTGAAGTAAAGCTGGGATTGGGGCTTTTAAAAATATCTGGGCATTTTGGATAGGGCAAAATTTGGCAAAGGTTATTTTCCTAGCTTGATTTCTAGGACCAGCTTTCACAAGAAAGTAACATGAATGTATATTTCTACTCTGGGCTTGCTCTGCATCCTTTTTAGGCACACTCAACCTTGCAAGGAATGTGTGTACTCTGGGTAAGAGCAGTGCTTGCTGCTCCCAGGGGACCAGAGCCTTGCAACTCAATTTTTGAGCAAGCTAGAGACTAGCTGAGAGTGCAATGCATGCAAAGGCATTTTGTTTCTTCCCCCTCCAAAGAGGTCAAGAGTGATATCTAAGGCTAGAAGGAGTCATTATATTGATGAGGATGATTCTTGTGTGAGTGAGAACATGGAGCTTCACCTGTATGCTTAGCAATTTAAGTGATCTTTCAGAAAGGTCACTGGTTCTCCCACTGAAGATTTCAAAAGAATTAGTAAACAATTCCTGAGTGTAATAAGACCACTGGCTGGAAAAACTGTTTTGCTAGAAATTGCCTGCCTGTTCTTGATGCCTATAATGAGACTCTAGGAAAGAATTGTATAAAGAATTCATCTGTCAGGGTGTATCTGCCTGCTGGAAGCAGGTTTTGCTACTGCCTGAAGGGAAGGCTGAAGTCCTTACTACTCTGGTGAAAAGAAGTTTTCTTGCTTGCAATATTAGTAATAAACAACAGAAGCTGCAAATGTATTGATCTTGGAAATTTTGAAAGTATTCTTCAAGTTAAACCAAAAGAAACGTAGATGCTGGGTCCTCAGCCTTCAGGATTGAGCCCAAAATTCTCACCCTAGAAGGGCTTCATTTTGGGGCATCACCCTTCTTTATAATACATATTACATTAAGGCTGTTTCTTTACCACCTGGAATGAACATGTACACAGGAACAACTCTGGTCTTGCCTCAGGGCATGACCTTACAACATAAAACCTTTCACTTGTCAATATTTAATTCAACATTTACTAAATGGTAGGTGGATGCTAGGCTGACTTCACTGGAAATAATTTTGCAAAGATTTAACTAGCTTAAATATACATGGAATTTAATGCTGGAAATAAGCCTAGCATAATAAAAACATTAAACTCATGGCTCATAAGATTTTTCCTAAATGATGACATACCAGACTTGCATGTGTACATGGGGGAAAATGATTAAAACAACACTAACGGCCAACACGGCAAAGGGTAATTATTAACCACTTTTTCTTGCAAAAGAGCTGGGAAATACTCTGCTGTTGCTGATTCAAGGGACTATTATGTAATAATCAGCAAAAACTATTTTAAAATATTCAATATTCTTATTCTGTTCCCCCCAGGTCTGTTTGATCTCCTTGTACTAATGCCTAAGTATTGGGAACTTGGAGGTTTTTAAGCTAAAAAGACTACTAAATGAAAATGGTCAGTGTCCTGGCTTTTCTCTCTAAATTATGGTTTTATCAGTGCAGGAAACTGATACAAGGATGTGCGGCCATGAAAAGACACCAAATTTCAGTTTGGGGGATTTTCCTAAGTGAGAAACTAGATGTTCTCATGTTCACTAGCAAAGTATACATGTATATACTTAATTTTCCTATGGAATAAGGATTAAAACTAAACTGTATTCTTTGCTAGATCAAGACATTTTAGGCTCAAAATCTAAGCATCAGTTTGGTTTACCAGTTTTAGCCTGCATTTCCAAGGGGGTCTATCTGCATATGAACCAACTACATCTTTACATGTGAATGAGCATTTCCATGTATAGTTACAGACACTGTATACTCTCTGGTTATCACATTTTCTCTATCATTTGTGTTTCCAACTTTGTAACAATGAAAAAATTAATCTTGAACATGAAATTTCATAGACTCCTATATGAATATTGACTCGGTGAAATTTTAACTTAGGCTTGCTTGTAAAGATTCCCTCTATTTTTTCTGTTCTGTTTGAAGTTTCTTTCATGTGTAGTATCTAACTAATCACTTCTCGGTTTGCGTTATTTCTTGGTCTTGTGTAAGTTGCCCTTGCGAAGGTTTCTTTGTATTCTTACTCAGGATGATACAGACCAAACCTATAAACTTGAATCTAAAACTTGGGAAAACTTGGATCAAAGAGTTTGATTCATTGTTTAGTCATTTTTTCGTCTGAAAGGATTGGTTCTGCCACAGAATGAGCTGATCTTCAGTGATCATTGAATTCGTGTTTTTGAACATGCATGTCTTTCCAAAGCTTGTAAAACTTGTTTTGTATTGTAGCTGTGCCAGATTTATATCCTTGTCTTGCTTATTTTCCTGTCCATGTGCTAATCATGGGACACACTAAGCAACAAGTCCTTTCCACAAATGACTGATGCTACTAATAACACTGGGTTAATTTAAAAGTTGCAAAGATTTCAGTTAAAATGTAGATTAAGATGAAAATTAAATGTATATAGGTCTGGAAGGTATCATCTCTTATTTGTATCTGAGATAAAACATTTATTTGAAACTCACTTGTCTGCTCCCTCACTCTCACTCCAGAGAATGAATCTCCTACTTCCTTATAACCACCACGTTACAGAGAGCTAACATACAAGTATTTTTTTCCTATTAATTATAGGATATTGGATTCCAAGTCTAAAGAAACTTTTAGATAAAATATGCTAGAGGATCTTAAAGAAAACTTCTTTCCTGTCCCTTAAAAGTGGTGTTTTCATTGATTAGCATCTTGTAACCTGAGAAGGATGCCTATGTTTAGCTGAAGTAAATCTGATGGTAATATCTTTTGAGAACCTCACCAAGGTTTATGTAACAGGGTCAAAAGTGATCCGTAGGAGCTGCCAGAACAATCATAGCTGAAATACAAACCAAGAACCACATGCTCAATAATCCCACTTTCCCTAAAAGAAAAAGGTTACTTCAAATCCCAGCCAATATTTACAGTTTCAGCCAACTCACATCTGTATAGCTGCCTCTCTACCTAAAACATCTTGAATATCTCAGTATCTGCAAGTTTAGAAATAATCCAACTAAATTAGCTATAAAGGTCCTTGAGGAATGACACTGATTTAACACACCTTGGATTTTCAAATAAAACAATATGTATACCAGCAGGAAAAAGCCCAAGCAGAGAGCACCTTTTCACAACAGTGTGCCCTTATCTCTACTTAGCTTTGGGTTGTAAGGAACTAACAGCAAAAATAAAGTCAGAACTATTACACCCTTGTCCTGACCCATGTTTCATTTAGTTTTTGAACTGACACTGCTATAGACTTCCTCTCTATGGCATAAAACCTGAATAGCAGACAAAGAAATCTTTTTTATTAACTCATCATCATCATCATCATCACGGCTGGGCTTCGCAAATGAAGATTTGGGAAGGGCACTACCCACATTTGTTGCAAGCACGTTGGTGGCTAAAAAGGCCAATATGAGATAGGCACACCCAGTTGCAAAAGGCACAGCAGAAAGACTCCTTAGGTGGTATATTCTGCAAGGCACGATTCTTTCTGTGTTGTCTTTCCTCCTCAGGAGTGAACCTGCATGCTTTCTCAAAAGCATCAGCAGCGTTGAAAGTAGTGTGTCTTCAGACCTCCCGATTGGAGGCCAGAGTAGACCAGTGATGTTGATCAATATGGCCAAGGCTGAGATGTTGTTTTAGGGAGTCCTTGTATCTTCTCTTTGGGGCTCCTCTCTTGCGGCAACCGGTGGCAAGTTCACTATAAAGCAAGATCTTAGGGAGGCAGTGGTCCTTCATCCTGGAGACGTGTCCTGCCCAGCGCAGCTGTGTTCTCAGTAACATGGCCTCAATACTTGTAACTGCTGCTGTTCAAGAACAGATGTATTGGTCACATAATCTGACCAGTGGATGTTTAGGATTGTGCGGAGGCAGCGTTGATGGAAGCGTTCTAGGAGGCACAGGTGGTGGCGGTAGATGACCCATGAATCAGATCCGTATAAAAGAGTAGACAGTACTATGGCTCTGTAAACACTGATCTTGGTACTTTTCTTCAGGTGTTTATTTTGCCAGACTCTTTTATGAAGTTTTTATTAACTATTGAGGAGTTAATTATTATACAGTATGTTCCGGCCCAGCCTTTCAAAATCTTGTAAAAGGGTGATTCCTGACAAGAAGTCTTCTCACACGCTCGATACTGGTCCGACACATCACTGTTAAAAGCCATTTATAGCACATGGAATGCTGTGGGTGTTCCCCCACCTGGTCACTTGCAGTCAGGTAAAAAACTATATGAATGCAAGTCCTCGCCTTAGGCACTTGCATTTCAAACATTTAATGGTTCCAAAGCTTTTTTACGGTTTGTGGCATCCAAAACAAAGACCCCTTGTATGGTATCACAGCCGTACAAGGCAGTTTGTTTTCTGTTGAGTAGGAAAGACACATTGCATGAATTCCAGCCAGAACGTCATACTATTCTTTGTTTTTACTGTTAATTATTTATTACCTCTGAAAAGGTATAAAAGAGTTAAAGCTGGCTTTACATTTAATGCAGTGATTTAACTGGTCCTATTTCAGAGAAGAAGGCTACTGTAGCAACTCTGAAGAGGGCTGCTTCTACACTGCACTGAACATCACTGGAAGTGAAGAATACTTCAGATAAGTGGTGAGTAGTGCCTAGCAGTTGGACTTTCTACTTTGCAGCAGATTTGGCAGTGTTCTCAAGGGGTTGACTTGGGGAGGGAGGGGGAATAGATTTATCTTGGTATAAACCAATGTTGTGAAATTTATAAACAACTAATTTCCTGTACTAGTCAAGTACTCAGCTTCTATATAAGCATTCATTAACTCTGAAATCTGTCTTCCTCTCCTGGTTAATAGATTTCTGTGGAAAATAGCTTTAATTTTTCTGACAATCTGTAGAAGAAAATCCACCACAAAACAACAACCCACAGCGAAACACTTCACCTTAAAATAGAGATTCAATCCTTCCACCTCTCAGTATAACAGATAAGATTGTGACCTGTATGAAATATTGAAATCCAGATAAATTGATTCATCATCTTTTAAAGACACTCTAGGACTGATACTACAGATACAGGAAAAAAAGGAGACGTATATCTTTTACCACTATGTCAACTGATTATTTATAAAAATAGGTATTTCTGGAAGCCAGGGTGTCTACAGTATTTGAGAATAACTTTTGCTAAGTAGTTCAGTACCATAGTAATACTCTGTGTCAAATTAAAGTCATGCCCCACCTGACTCCCTCAACAGTGTCTCCCTCAACAGTATTTTAATATTAGGGTTGTTAGACATTTTCCATAAACAGTATAAGCATTGACTTGCACATTCTCACTTGCATCAGAATAGATCTAGCTTAATAAAACTACTTGAGAAGAAAATAATCCTTTCAGTTCTTAATGGATTTCCAGTGCACCTATTTTAACCAGATAGTTATTTCACTTATGAGGATCTAATATACACAAACTTTTCTGCTCCAGGGGACAGAGAAATATGAAATATGTTCTTCACATTGGATGCTCTAATTAATGTTTTTATTCATTGATGCTGGATTTCTTCTGTGTGCATGTGTATGTGTGATTTACAGTACCAGGGAGAGGAGCACATTCATTGCAGTACAGACTAGTGACAGAAATATCTAACTTGAAACATAGGCAAGTCCTCAGCTTAAGTCTGTTATACTGCAAGGACATCTTTTTTGAAAGGCAAGAGTGCTCAGCCATAGAAAATTTTTGGCTATAGCTGCGTAGAAAAATGTTAGCAGCACACCAGCTATGGCATAGGAGTGCGATCCAAAACTCTTGTTCTCCATCCTCTGTTACTAGAGGTTTAGTGTTGAATCAAAAAGAAAAATAAAGTAAAATGTCTTTTGAAACATATACTTATTTCTAGTGCAAAGCATAGCAAACAAAAAAGTAATCAAGTTGGGCAATTTTGCTTTCCCAAAAGCAAAAATTATTACATGTCAGTCTATCGTAGACAATAGGACTTACTGAGCGTGTTTTGGTTATTTTTCACCAACACATTTTCCAAAGTTTTGCAATTCATACCCCACTGTGATGTTATCCCTCTTAGTGCATCCTCCTCTTGCTTTTAAAAGAAACCAAACTATTCTGTGCTACATCTGAAATAGGTGTACCCTGAGGGGTGCAAGCAGTCCCTTATCCTCCCTGAGAGATTGTGCTAGTTTATAATTACAATTTTATCAGGTGGAGGCTGCTCTTCCCACTTCCACATTTTCCCTGTCCATAGTAGTGCAATGTTGACACAGACATTATCTTTCTCTAGAGGTAGTATAAGTTTGCACTTGGGAGACAGATAGGGAAGCTGTGCATGCCCACCATGAGGAATTTGTGATAAAAGAACCTTTTACATCACAGATAAACTGCCTGAATCTTGTTTGTGCTGTACTTTGGTTGGAGTGACTGAGGCCTTCTTGTAAGTTCACACTCATCTGATCAAGATGGCAAATGGACCTTCACTGACTACTGGCCCAAACAATGCCTTATGCTCAGACTGGACAACAATAAATAATCTAGTCCAGGTCTTATACGCTTCTTAGTTTGGTTTAGGTTTGGAGGGTTTTTTGAACAACTGTATCTTTTAACTCAGGTTTTCCAAGGTGATCAACTCCTTGGTGATTTCATCATAACAAATATGGCTATTTAAAATATGCTCCCCTTGCATATTCGCTTTTTGTGAACAGGACAGCTTTCCAACAGCTTTTGTTTTTCCTGACTTGCAGTCAGTAAATTAAAGCCGGATGTTCAGTAAAAGTTCAGAACCAAACCTGGATTACAGTATGCTTATTCATACCTCTCTCAAGTCATTTTGCTGTGCCAGTCATAATGATCCCTTTCCATGAAGTGCTGAACCATCCTTGCCAAGGCTAACAATTCGTAGGACTCAGTTGTACTGCATGTCCTACCAATGAACTCAGCCTATATATTGCTAAATAAACTACTGGATAAGTAGATAAGCAAACTGTAGCTGAAATGGAAGATGTCCCCTGGACTAACATAAATGAGCCTTTCCTGATTTGTGGGTCACCTCCTGATTAACTGTACAAACTATGGAGCACACAAATCTAATTTGCTCTGACAAAGAACAAATAATGAATTAATATTTCTGGATCAACAACTTAAGCAACTTACCTGGTATTAGCAATATGAACTTCAGGGAAAAAGAATACATTTTTCCACACTATCTGTTAAAATTTTTCAGTGAATGTTTAACAGCAGCAGCAGAGCAAATTTCAGCCTTTTGTTCCCCTAAGTGTATCATCACTTCCTTAGATTTTGTCAAACATTTCAGTCTGAAGATCAAGTTTCTGCTTTCTGTAATCACATCTCTCTTCCCTGCACACACGTCAACAGAATGCAAAAATAACCTTGACAAATCCATGCAGGATTTCAGTGATTTCTACTCCCTCCCCAGTCCAGATGTCCTTTTTTTTTTTTTTTTTTGCATGATGTAGAATGTCTGTTCTGGATGCGGGAACAGTCCTTTTGCTACAATCAAGTGTAGCAATATGTTCAAAGAGTGAAACAAGGGTTACCTGAAATACAGAAGGGATAGTTCAGTCTGAACAGTTCCACTGTTAGCAATTAAACTTTCTAGTCACAACAGACATATCTTAAAATGTTTTAAAGATGTTCTGAGAAGATTCAGTCATATAAAAATAAATGCAGAGGGAAGACAGACACAAGTTATCCCTGCTAGTGGCTTAGCTGTGAGGCTATATCTCTCTAGATGTTTAACAGACTGTTTCATACTGAGCCTGTGTTGTTTCTGTTTCAGAGCTATGCCCCACATACTTTGTCTTGTCAGCTCTTAAATTCCAGTTTGATGATGCTTTGTTTGTGCTCCATCAGAACCTTCATTAATTTAATTATCTACATTGTCTGTGTATGAAATCTGTATAGGATGTGGGAGGTTCATTGAACAGGTCTTGATATTATTTGCTTGTTAAATGTGGCAAGAGACAGGTGACCTGTTTGATGATGAGACTAAGCATCTTTCCTATTAAGTGAAATACATTTGACTTGAAACCTATTTTTGAATAATTTAACAGGAATTGACTAAGGCCCTTTGCAGTAGAGAGAAAGGAATTTTTTGTTCATTGCACTGTACTGGTAGGTAGAGAGGTAAGAAGGCAACTTTTCCAGCTTTGGCGCATATAGGATGCTGTCACATCTCTAGTTTCTCTTACTTAAAAGCTCAGCCTGATTTCTTGGAACCACCAGATATAATGGCCCCAGTACTTCCAATGTCTCACAGGAGTACTGCCAATGGCAGTACTCCTATGCCACAGGATTTCATGTGAAAAACCTCCTGTATGTGTGATGGCCTCAACACAATTTCCACTCCTATGCGCTGTTTCGCTAAACTGCCTGTTACTCCCCATGTGCCATAGCTCACTGTCTTATAGAAACTTGTCTACAAGGAAGACAACTTGCATTCAGGACTGGATCTATTATTATCATAATGGCCACGTAAGCAAAAATCTTGAAATGTGCTGTCACCCCAGCACTTGAAGCAGAAGAACCCAATAATCCATACTCCAAATAAATTGAACAAACTGGCAGACTGCCCAAGGTCATACAATGAAGCACCGTGTAAATATCATATCCTCTCTGAAACACCAGAAATCAGTTTAGTTTCTTAATAAATTAAGATTAAAATATCCTTTAATACTATTAAAGGACATAGGGTGATGTTCCAGCAAGAATTTTCTTGACAGAGCAATACGTAAAAGGACATCTCCTTTGCAAAATATGTTCAGGCAATGACCCAGCTAGTATAAGGTCTCATCATAATTAGAATCACACCACCGATTAATCCAAACATCTGAACTGGAACTCAGCCATAACAATGTTCCACCTGACTGACTAAACTTCTTTTGCAGTTGCAGTGGGTCTGATGCTCCTGTCCTAGTAGAGACAGCATGTCTACTGAAGAGCCTGATACTGTTGCTTTTTCCCCTATTAAACAGTAGCACAACTTCTCCTTTTTTTCCCTCAGCTATTACCTAGCAAAGTAACAGGATGGAGAACAAACAGCAAAGCAACGGTGTGATGAAAGAAAACAAGGAGGTGAAGAAAAAAGTGGTGAGTGAATTCATCAAATCTTCTGTCAAAACATTTGTTTGCTATTTGGGGACTGGAGGTAGAAAATAACTATTTGGAACCCGTATGAATACTTTGTGGGTTTGGGGTTTTTTTAGGTGTATAGAGGGTAGCATATGTTTAGCTTCTGTAACTTACCAAAAGTGATTGTAAAAGGTCAAAAATGGTGTGTTAAGGTAAGAAATTATGTATGTGTATTAATCACATGCATATTATTTCTATTTGAGTATGAATTGAATTACTTACACTGTGCTATTTAGAACGAAACTAAACAAAACACAGGTGTCTGATTCATCTCAAATGCACTCCATGTGTTCTAGAGGCTTGATTCTCCTAACTTTAGTCTTTTACTGCTTACGACCATTCAAAGAGATTATAAGTGATGTCTGGATCATCTATCAATATGTACAATTATTTTACATGTTAATGAGTAGCATTCTATTCTATTCTGGCTTTCTATTCATACACCTCTCAGTTTTATCTGAGCAAACGACACTTCAAAGTTGCTGCATCATAAACTTCTTCCAAACCTGCAGTGCTCTGTGGCAGTACATATTATGCCTATGTAGCACGTCAAAAGTGGAAACAGCTCAGATTTGCACCAATATTAACTGCAGTCATCTGGGAACAGTTCCCAGATGCACTTAATACTCATCATTGCCAACTATAAGGTGCTGTTTAACTCTTAGCAGTTCAAAATCCCCATGTTTGCAAATAGGTACCTTCAAACATTATCTTCTAAATAGTTTGTACCTATCTAAACAGGTACCTTCAAGCTTTTATCTTCCCCAGGTAACATGTCTAATCCCCTTCTGTTACACAGCAGTAGCGTGGCGTGTCAGTTCTAAACCTCCTACGGCTGTGGAAGCATCCCTAACATCTTAATTGGCTACAAACCTTTTGGTATCCTCACTTCTCACCCTCGGCAACACGGGAAAACGCTTCCCCGCATCACTCTAGTGTCTTGCTTACAGAAGGGTCGCCCAGGTCTCCAGTACGGACCACGGCACGGGTCCGCCCTGCCAGCCGTGGTTCCTCAGCCCCGGTGCCACTCGGCGGGGGCGCCGTGATGGACACCGAGTTGTGACAAATGTCGCGACCCCTTGCCCGCCTGGGCTGCTGGGTAAATCCCTGCTGAGGGATGGGGCCAGCCGGAAAGCCAGAGGCGGGTTGTGTGCGCTTGAGTTACATGCGAGTTCGCGGAGGAGCGCTCTCGGGCTCTTCCATCCCTCGAGCCCTGCGCCGGCACCGACTCTCTCCCCTTCCCGCTGCAAAGCCGGGGACAGGGCCGCCCCCCCGGGCACCCCCGAGCCCAGGCGCGTTCCCCCCGCCCCGCCGCCGCCTCCCGCGGCCGCGCCCCCGTGCCCCGCGCTGCCTGCGGGAGATGCGCGGCCGCTGCGCGCCGGCGGTGGCGGCGGAATGGCCGGAGCGGCGGGGCCCGAGGGCGACACGCTGGTGGCGCGGGGACCGGGGGGCGGGGGCGGCCGCGCCCGCGGAAGCGTAAGTAGCGCGGGGCGGCTTTTCCGCGCTGCGGGAATGCCCGCTGCCCTTCCAGCGAAGCGGGAGCGAGCCCGGCGGCGCGGGCGAGGGAGCTCGGCGTGCGCTGCCCGCGCCTTGGGGACGATTAGCGGGAGAAGGGTTGATTCCGACCCTCTCCGGCGCGGTGCGGAGGGAGGGACCTTTGGCTGGTGCGCGGTGGCTGCGGGAGCTGGAGTAAGAGCCCGGAGCTCCCCCGGGAGCCGGGCGGAGCTCAAGTTGCACAGCGGCGACGCCGAGCCCTTCCCCGCTTGGAAAGTTTTTGGTGCCGATGCAGGGGAGGCCAGCGGCGGGCAGAGCTAAAAATACCGCGGCCGGGACCCAGAGGACGGGCGGAGGGCAGCGACCGGGCCGGGGTGCTCCGGCCGGGGAGCGCAGCCGCCGCCGCGGGGGAAGTGGCGGCAGCAGAGCAAGGCGAGGGCACCGCTGCTGCTTCCCCGATGTTTCCCAAGACCACCCGTATGGGCAAGTCCTTAGGGCAAGGGCAGACCCGGGCAGAGAGGGCTGCAGGGTTTCCCTTTTTCTCCCGCAGCCCCGAGGGCAGAGCAGCCGAAGGGCGCCGGGTCCACGGGCACCTGCCGGGAGAGCCAGCCTTCCGCGATGCGTAACGGGACCCGGGTCCCGTTAAGGGTATCTGGTAAGATTCTCAGGAGTCCAGCTTCCCTGTATGCGTAGAAAGTCTTAGTAATAGCTGTTTAAAAAATTAAAGCTTCCTTATGCATGTGTGCAATGTCTACTGCTAACGGTTGTTTAATTTTAGTCTGAGAAGGGGGCTGTGACTGACCAACCAAAGTACAGTACTCTAAACTGTGTTTTGAAAACTGAAGTGAAAACTGAAATGCAAACTGTCATGCATTTAAAAACAAACAAACAAACAAAAAACCCAAAACAATTTGAGACCCACGGTAGCCAGCACAAATACTACACTGACCAAGAACTAGAGTTGAGAAAAGCACCTTGAGAGCACAGTGCCTTGGGAATTGCGATTAAACCAAAAATGTGGGCTTTCACAAGTAAGCAGTCCTCGGTTACCTGGAAGTCTTTGCTATGAACTGTCATGCAGTGTTCCTGACTGAACATTTATTCCTGTGGTGACGGTCACACCTATGTGCCCTTTGGCTGACGGCAGGGACGCATAAGCACATGCATGGCTGTGAAGCCAAGGAACACCTGTGAAGGAGGCGTGGTTGCCTTCTTGTTTCCTGGCAATTGTAAAAGACATTGTGGGTTGTTTTTTTTCTTTCCTTTTTTTTAATGTTGCCACAGGGTTAATATTTTTTTGAGCAACAATTTTTTTTTCTATTTTGCATTCTTGCTTCATTGTGCTTTCACCTTTATCTGGAGTTGCTGAAACCTGAGCAAATATTTAAAATAGTGAATGAAGAGACAGGTCATGGAGAAGTTGAAGTTCATGTTCCAAGCTCCAAAACCTCTGAATAGAGTGAGTCTGAGGTTTTCTGCAGCAGGCAGTATACTTAAAAAATTCATGGTATTGAAGTAGGTTCTAAACCCAGCTATTCGAAATACTTGAAAATATTATGAATGTGGGGTTTTCTAAGCACTTCTGTGATTTGCCTTGCATTATCTTCCACTTAGCCTTATGTGCATATAATTTGCCTGTGCTAAAAGGCTTAAGCATTCATTGGAATTTTTAATAAACCCAAGGCTATATGTTCCAAATCATTTTACTTGCAGGATTTTTCTGATGGTCTAATGTTGTTGGAGTAGAGCCCTTTAGAAATATTGCATCAAGATTACTTGTGAACTCATGCTTATCATTTGTGAACCCTTCAGGAGCAGCCTGGTAGACCACCAGGAATTTTCCCCAATGAATCATTCAGAGTAGTAGCAATTTCTCCTAAGTCTAGGAATGCTTGTGCATAGTAGAGAAATAATAAGCACCTAATATGAGGTGTTGTAACCAGAAGTTAATAAAGCCTTATGTCAAAGTTTCTACATTTTGTTACCAAAGTAATGGCACAAAGCTCTGTGTGTGTGTGTGGCACAGTCATTTTAAGCTGGCTAATAATAAGAAATTGTATTTGTCTTGTATAGTGATCTCAGCAGGATATATTTCTTACACTAGGCTTTTCTCCCCCTGCACACTTCCTCCTGACCTGACCAAAACCAGGCTGGTTAATGAACTGTGTAATCTCTTAAAAGGTTCTCACATCATGTGGAAGAAGTTAAAAACACTCCACTGTCCTACAGGGTACATTTTGAGCCCTCTGGAGTGGTAGCTATGAGTGTGGCAGATCCCATGTGTGCCAGGTTGTACTCTGTAGTCCCTGCCTGACCACATGGGTACCTCAGTCCTTCTTCTCAGGTCGCAGTGAGTCCCCGCTGACTGTGGAACGTGAGCTCTGGCACATTCTAACAGCCACTTGCCCTGTTGTGCCTATGAGGCTGGTGGAGCTCGTTCCAGTCTACTGTCACTGCTACTATGCCATGTGCTAGCTACATGAATGTTTTCTAAAGTGAACATACAGCTTTGTGCAGTTGACAGAATGCATTGATTCATTAACCTGTTGTGAGTGATATAACTGAACCTGAGTTTCTCAAGCCTGCTTAAGCAGGTCTGTCTCCTTTTGAAAGGGTTGAAGCTTCAGTGAGTGAGGAAGCTGGGCATAACTGACAGTGAGCTGTGCTTGAAATTCTAGATTCTTATCACAGTTGTTTTTTTTTAATTGAAAACACATTGAAAAGCCATCCATTTTAACATATTCAAAGTTATCCTTCATGATCTACAAAACTACATTTGAAACTGACCAGCCACCAAAACACTGACTTTAATGTCTCCTGGGACTGGCTGGCAGGGGTCTCTTCTGCCACTGTCTGTAATCCAGCAGGAGAACTGAGTGGCAGAAAGTAACACTGGGGTAGGTGGAAAGGACCCTGAAATGCAAAATCTCTCAGATCAAAGCAGTTCTACCTTTTATACTACAGCTGATGCGGAAAAAGAAATTGTTTGCAGAGGTTGGTTGAAACAGTATGAGGAGGATGAAGGGAGGATGCCTGAGAAGGGGGAGGTACAAGTGTGTCATTAGCAAAAAAGGGTAAATGCATTTCCGCTGGAGAGCATGTGTGGCAGCAAATTACTGTAGGAAACTTGCATTTGGGTTACAAAACCTAGTTTGTAGGCATCATTTTAAATTTTTTTTGGTCACAATTTCATCCTTGTGGGATTGGGAGGCACACCATCTCATGAGTCTTCACCCAAGCCAGGTCTACCCACAGTCCTACTGTATCCCATATACACTACTCCTTGCTTTGCTGTGTTAGTGAAATATTGTCAACAATTTCCTTTGCTGAGATTATGCTTCTGCAGCATTTTACTTTTAATGGTGGGGGCTAGTAGGATGCTTGCAGCAAAACTCTGTAAGGTTGAAAGAAGTTCAAATGTTCACTTATGCCTTGGTAGATGTTAACTGAGATGCTGTCACTTCAAATTTACTGTTTCTCAGATTGAGAAAGGAGAACTGTTTCAGGCCATTATTCTGCAGCAAGGACATCTGCCTGCAGGAACTATGCAAGATAGCAGAAGGAGTGTTTAAAACCTGAGGTACATTAATTTAAGATATGCTAACAGTGACTGCATCTTTTCTTTGTCTTTCAGAATTGGTCTGGGAGTCTCATTTTAGCCTCTTTAACCGGTGCTTTTGGGTCATCTTTTCTTTATGGTTACAATCTCTCGGTGGTGAATGCTCCTGCAGTGGTAAGTGACTGACAAAAATGGAATTTAATATCAGTAGAGGGCAGCCTTGTCCAGCTATTGCACACTCTTCAGTATCCTGCCTTTATAGTCCTCCTGATTACACAGTAGAAAAAGATTACATCTCATACAATAACTTTCCTTTGCCTGAAACCTTCCTGCTCTCCATGAGGTTTTCACATAAATCCAGTAGCTATCAGGAATCTAAATGCCACTGTTGTGGTGCATGGGTGCACGTGGTTTGCTTCTCATTCTCCCCAAGCCCAGACGAATACTAAATCTCCTTGCACACTTTTGTATGATAAAGTATTTTTAATATCTGCCTAATAGGTATTTGGTAGCTGTATGCACATGTTCAGCAACTTCTGTTCACATGGTTCAGTTCTAGAGGGTTGCACAACGTGTCATTCCCATTGATTAATATTAAAAATAATGCCTCTGGCTTCCCCTTAAATAATAGGCCTCCTCTCCTGCATTATGTGGTGATGTCTTGTTTGGTTCTGGATTCAAAACTGCTGGGTTGACCATCTGCTGGCTGCAATATGTGGGATAGATTTGATGAATAGAGTACTGTGGAGTCATTAGGCAAAACTTGTGGTGATTTCATTAAAATATCAGTTATCACAAACAATCTTAGCCCCAGGCTTTGTCAACAGTTTTAAGAACAACTTTGACCCGTAGGGTTATAGATGTCAAACCGGGTATATTTATATAAAATGAATTATTTATTATGACAAATGATCAGACAAAAGATCTTAATCAGAACTATTTACAACACCATAGAAAAGCTAAAACTATTAGTAGTGTATAGTATAGTGCAACTATATCAAAGCAATTATCTCAAAGCAATTAGATTAAATCTAGCAAAAAGAAGTAATTATTTAATTAATGTAACAGCTCAACAATGCCTGTGGGCAGATCTCTTTCTCTTAACCTCAAGGAGTATCCTTGAATGGGTGTCCCCACTTCTAGGGAGCATCTCCACACACTCCAGGAAGAGTATGTTAGAAGAACCTGCCATATGAAAGTGGACTGGACTTTTATGGTATAAAGTGGTTGACTGTCAGTCTCATGTCTCCAGGTCAGCTTAGCATCTTATCTGTCATATCTTTGCCTCACTACCAGTATGTTGGTTTGGGGTTGATGAGCCAGACTGGTTTTGGCATAATTCAATACCAAAAGCAGCACCTGGGCCCCCTCTCAACCCACCACTGACAGATTTGCAAATAGGGCATTTTCCTGTTGAGTTGCTTGACCTCATTCCAGGATGAAGAGCCCTGCTACAGGGGGAAGTTAATTTAAGACTGGAAAGTTGAAGAACTATTTGTAAATTTTTGTGTCCATTTTCTTTTGATGTTGCAAATTGTGTCAGCTCATCAAACTCCAGAAAAATACTCCTGTAGTTCTCACTGGGTTTTGCTACTCCTGTAGTTCTCGCTGAGCTTTACCTCACGTCATCTTATAAGGTAGAGTTAATCCAATTTCCTGATCGCTGAAAGGGGGAAATAAACTGTACAAACTCCGCTCAGAGCTGACATTGCATCCAACTCAGTTCCCTGTTGTTCTGTGGGAAAGAGCAGCGGCCCATTGCAGGTATGATTCCCGAGAAACCCAGAATTAGAAGTGTCCATGGGCTTGTTCAAAGAGCTACCATAATTTATTAAATTATGGGAGCATTTGGCAGTAGGAAGACAAAAGATTTAATTGCATATGAGTTGAAGCTGTGTTTTTCTGAGCAGAATTTCTGCAGTTCATTTCATGGACCGATTGTAGGCAAGGCCTGTGAAACAAAGATGTGCTTTGTGCTCTATGCAAGGAAGCAAAGCCTCTGCTACTTTCTGATTTGCACTTGCCCTCTTCCTGGGGAGGGCTGCAGTTCTGAATTCCTAATGCAAAAATGTACAGCCTGCTGTGTCAGCCAGTTCAGTAGTGGTCACTGTGTGTAAGTGACCTTTGTAACTATGCGTAAGACAAGGAAAATATTTCCCTTATATCTAAAATGTACTTATATCTAAAATGTAGATTAATATATATATATATATATATAACTATATATATCCCTTACATTCCTCTTATTTTTCTCACCCTAGCACTACTACTGTAATGGACTGAAGCAGTTGAGAAAATACGATACTGACACTGCATCAGCTACTGTTTCTTGTTGGCTTTGATTAGGGGCTAAAATCCGTGTATACAGGTTTATGACTTCAACATTATTGAGACACCTGATCAAAATCCCAAAGGAGCCTTTCCATAGAATTAAATGGATTAAAATCCAGTGGATTTGTTAGATCAGATTTGTTTTGTTTCATGTTCTTCCCCTCAAAACCTCTATGTGTTACTAGCTTCCAATTTATTGGCAATGGGAATCCAAACACAGGTGCTGTACATGTCAGAGCATCTGTATGTTACTATTGAGTGTTGTAGTTTGTACTTTCTTTTCTTGAATATTTCCAGTTATTTATGTCTCCTTGTAAATAACAAAGCTATGATGAGAAAATTAGTCATAACACAGGGGGAGAATAAATTGCATACTATTTTGAACCATTATCATTAGCAAGAAATGCTAATAGTGTTGTAAAAGGGCTTTCTCTCAGTATTCATTACTATCAGTAATTAACTTCAAATAAACAAGATCTCTGAATCTAAATATAATCTGAGTATTGGTGTTAAAGAGATAAGATGTACTACTTGATTTACTGGCAGATTCATTTGGAAGCTTACTGTGAGATTCTTATAAATAGACAAAGCATCAAATTGACTTTTTTCCTTTTCTTTTTTTTTTTTTTTTAAAGTGTTTTTTTTTCTCTCTGTTTAGAAACACATAAGATAGCTTTGGAGAAATATCCATGTCCACCTTTTAATTCAAGGCACAAGAGGTCTACTAGAAACTTGATAGAAGGAAGACAGAAAGTTGTATGTTTTTACCTCCACCTTTCTTAGGTACCTTGCAGATGGAGAGGTGGTGATTCAAATTAACTGAAGTCCTCAAATCAAATATTCTGTGTGTCCAAGGCTAAACTAAAGTTTGAAATTCCTAGTTTGAATGGGGAAAATGTTGTGGCTTATATTGCTGAGTCCTGTTCCAGGATACTTTAGGAGCTATTACACGCTGAAGGAAATCTGAGAAGAAACTGGGGAAAAGAGCCAAGATTGAATTTTGTGATACTGTAGAGCTTGTTGGGAAGCGGTGACAGAGAACAGGTGAGAGCTTTTCACAAGCATGCTGTGTCCTGCTGTAGTGACTGCAGCTGCCTGGTGCTGTATCCTCGTCAGAGCACCAGGCACAATGGTCCTTGATTTTGAAATGGGAGCAGCATAAAAATGAGGAAGTCTGACTAACAAGAAAGTAAACAGGCAATGTCTCTGCAGACAATACAGAGAAGTTGTTAGAAAGCATCCTTCAAAAACCTGCAGTTGTGCTCATGTGAGGAAAGCAAAAAAAGAGTATAAACTCTATTACACTGAAGGCTAAAAAGTGAGATGGTCCTGGACATTCGTGTCTACCGTTTCCCTACCTTTTTTGGGACCGCCATGCAGTTATACGTATGGATGTTTTAATTGATTCAGTTTTATTGCAGTTGCATCTAGAATTGAGAGTCCATTTTTTGGAGGAGGGCAAAGGTGATTGCTGCAAGCAAGCTATTGGGCTGATTTTTTTTGTTTTTCTAATTCTGTTTCCCTCAGTTGCATTCCTAATGTGTGATTTTTTTTTTTTTACATGTATTAATTACCATTTATTTTCTTTCAGTATATCAAGAAGTTTTACAATGAAACTTGGCAGAGCAGATACGGCTTCTCAGTGAATGAAAGCACGCTGACGCTGCTCTGGTCTGTAACCGTTTCTATTTTTGCCATTGGTGGCCTTGTGGGTGCCATTATTGTTACCCCAATTGTGAAGTTCTTCGGACGGTAAGTGACTGCAAAACTTGTGTTTTCTAAAGCAGTTTCTCACTTAGTCTCTCTATAAGGCTTTACTTTTATTTTTGAAAAGCACCCTCTTCACCAGAATACGAATTAAAGTATCTTTAAATCATGAAAGCTCATTTCTGAGAGATATGAATTTCCAAGAGTGAAATTGGTACCTTTCTCTCTGGCCTTACTGTGTATCATTTAAGTCAAAGAAGCCATTTGCTCTGAACTGACAGTGGGTTGAGATGTCAAGGAGGTTGCATTGTCAGGAATGTGAAAGGAAAATACTGTAAAATAGAAAAGATGTCACAAAGGACTGGCAGATTCTTGTTTCATGAGTCTGCTGAGTACCTTACTGTAAACAAACAAAGCCATCAATATATCTCATTTGCTTCTTAACAATATCTGTTGTCATATAGTAATGAAAATTTGCACATTTTTCCTTCCTTATGTCAATTTAAAATAGAGTTTGAAGAACTGAACTAGGATGAAGTTCATGTTTGGTCTTTGCCAAGCTTGGGGATACTGTCCCTGCTCTATACAATGCAGTATTTGACCAAGTCTTGACCACAAAGAATATGAGTATTTTAGGAATGTTTGTGCTGGTGTGTGTTTGCATTTTTGCTGCAGGTACTGACTAGATATTTCTGTCAAATTTTTGTTTCATACAGTCTTCCAAAGAGAATTTTAAAGGTAATTCATTAATTACCTATAGTTAGAAGAGCATGAAAAAACCCTTCCACTGTAGTATTCATCATAACTGCTCATTTGGATTTCCTTAATTGCAAATTCTATATAATTTGATATTTTTTTGTCAGTTAAATCACAGGAGAACATCATCATGGAGGCTTAAATACAAGCATTAGCTTCCACTGTTCTTACTTTTGTGTTTTACACTTTGACTGTTTCTGTACACTTTGACCGGTTGTACTCTCCTAGGTCTCTTTGGCATTCTCCCAACTCTTCCATATCCCATTTTTCACCTCAAAGAGTATATTTTCAAGCTCTTCCATTTCATGCTTACAGCAAGTCAGTATTCTCTGCTGTTATCCATTCTTCATTAATTTATTCTGTCACTTCACCATCTGATTTTCAATTTTTAAATATTTTTCATAGGCACATTATTTCTTTTCTTTAGTTTTTCAACTTCTTCTGCCAAATCATCAATTTGGCTTTTACACACTTGTGTAATATATAAAACTATGCTTGATTAAGACAGATTAATTCCCAGAATATTGCTGAGTCTGCATTAAAATAAAGTGAAGTAAAAAATTAGTTCAAAGAAGGCTTGAGTTTTCAGTGAAGAGTAGAACAGCTTTGCATGCAGTTTGTTAAAGTGGTGGCTGATCTCTGTCGTAGATACACCACTTCAATTGGAGCTGGTTGTGTTTCCAGGGCAGACCTTTACACTTGCAGATTCTGCCCCTGTTTATTATGTTTATCTCCATTAAGCCATGAAAACAGCTCTGTTATAGATATGGTGTATGAATGCTACAGTACAGATGGCAAAGGGTTGTGTGGATAAAGGCTACTCACCAAACAGTGGTTCTTAAGTTTGCTGTTCACACTGCAGTGTGTTTTTCTGGTCTAGGAACTCGGACTGATGTATCATTATAGTAATTGAGGAGCATATTGTGAAATGTTGACAGAACAATAAAATACTCTGCTGTTAAGTTACTCAAGTGTAGGTTGGAGGGTTGTAAGTATGATGAAGCTGAGCTCCATTTACTCTGACACAGAATAATGAGCTAAGGGGGATCAAAAGCATTACTCAGAAATAATGTATGACTTTAAAAAGAACACTTGAATCACATTGCTGTAAGGTTAATAACATAATTTCCAAATTACTGGATTCCTAGTCCCCACCTACTTCAAGAGAGATATAGAGTAGTTTTTTGAAAGGGAACCTTCACACACATAAGCTTAAGTCCCCTGTGTCTTTGACGCTTCACAATTTAAATTCTCTTCTTCTAATGAAGAGCAGCTGCTGTTGTGTATCCTGAACACCCAGAGCAACATGCTCAAGGGATTGCTTAGGCCGCTGCTAGGGAGCCACATTCCCAAGCTGAGCATCACTCCAGGTCCCTCTCCTTCCTTTTTGTGCCACAGCAGGTCACACTCAGTGCCTTCAGTGAGAGAACAGGCAGTGCAAGGAGTCAGGGTCAATGTGTAACAACTTCTTTGTGCCATTCCTTTCTTCTCACTCCTCCTGTTTTTAAAATTTTAAAGTATATTTTTATGATTTAAAAATTTTTTTAACAAAGTAATAATTTTCCGTAGAGAATATTTCTTTTATTTGAAAAATATTTTTAATTTTTTATTTAACCATTATAGAATTATTTAAATTTAAAAGTGGGAAAGAAATATGTAAATCTGTATTTTGGTTAATTTGAACAATTTTTAGAGAAGGGTTGAGTTTTACGACTCATGTGAACCCAAGTGTTTTTTCTAACTCGACAGGTAGGAGGTAATTTTCCTCAATGTATGTTTTCATTATCATGGATTTAAGGATGAATTATAATGACATAAATATGTCAGTGTTGAGTAGTTCTCAAAGTGTCAAAAAACATATGTAGCATTAAAATGCCTGTAGTTAGATCAGCTTGTTGCTATTTAAAGTATATTCTACAGTTCCTCCATACATCTAGACATCATCTACCCAGAGTACATTTGTTCATGTTTATATTCGTATACAGAATCTTGGGCATGTCACCTGGGTTCTTGGGATGCATAGAGTGGCTAATTACTCTGCTTTTGAAGTACAACTCTTCAGTTAGCTATGATATGTTTTATTTTAAAGCTGTGGTATAGGTTTGAAACTGTATACATTTGGATATGGTGCTGTACTTTGGAACCTCACAACATCTAAGAGGTAGTGTTTGTTAGGAACTTTTTATTCATAAATGTTTAACAGCCTAGTATGCTTGGAATATGACTAGATTTAGCTGCCATGGTGCTGGTTTCTACATAAACTGTCTTTTCCTTTTAGGAAATGTACGTTGCTGCTCAATAATGTGTTTGCAGTGACAGCTGCGTTGTTGATGTCCCTCTCCTTGCTGGCGGGGTCGTTTGAAATGCTCATACTGGGCCGCATTATCATGGGTGTTGATGCAGGTAAACTTTGGTCATGCTCTACATGTCTGAAATGCTTGTGCCATACATAAAATTCCTCCTCTCCCCCAGCTAGAACTTTCTTTACATTGAAGAGGTATTTTAGGGACTAGCTGTAGCCACACTGATTTCACTGGGACAAAACAGCAGACTAAGGGCTGAAGGATCTGATGTTTGGAGAAGACACCGAAATGAAAGCCAGCTACTGTTATCCATCCTGGTTGTTCTCCCACTTTTCCTCTTCCAGCCCTGGTAGATTTTATCTGTCTTCATGCCATGAAAACCCTTTAGCTAGGAGGGTATAGCCTATTTATTAACACTGCTTGTTGCTGTGTGTTTAGAAGTTGTTGGATTCCATGCTAATACCGGCAGGATTAAGGAAGATTTGGTACGTCTTCAGTTGCTCCTAGCAATATAGTCTTCCCAATTTAAAAGTAAACCATTGAGGCACTGCAGCACTAGAATTGTCTTGCAGCTAAAAGTGAGGGTCTCAGCAACTTCTTGGATCACTAGATGTGAAGTTCATGAGTCATTTTGGTGCTGACTGCTAATTTTTGTCTAGGTTACCGCCAAACTACCAAGCTTCTGGAGCTATGTAAATATCGTGATTGTACTAACTAGGATCATGCAGTTGTTTCTTCCTGGCTTTGAGCAGCCACCTCACCCTTATTTTCTACCTACTATGAAGAGTTCATTGCAGGTGTAAGCCTGTATTGAGAGGAATATCTGCTAGTACTGTTTACAGTAAAAATATTTCACCTGACAGTATCTGCTCTATTTGATGGATACATTGGTTTGCGTTTTTTTCCTTACCCACACCAGTGCTAACACGACTTTGTTTGCTTTGGGATGAGCAAATTTAAAACATCAGATCTGTTCTGGTGATTCTCATCTCTGAGTAACCTTTGGTGCTCCTCATCAAATAGCACCTACGCACATTTCTGTAGATCTGTAACAGATAATCAATCCCATGATTATTAATTGGTGTAAGAGTAATTAGACATACAGGGAAGATAATTCATATTGTCTGTGGACAGATATATTTCTGTTCTTTGCATGTTCTTATGCCACTCTAGTGAGCAGATTAGTGCTCAGACTCCTTCCAGTAGACATTTTTTTCATACCTGGCATAATGAATAGAAGTTTTGACTTAATATATGGGGGTTTTTCTTCTTTTGTAGGAATTTCCTTAAGTGCCCTTCCCATGTATTTGAATGAAATATCTCCTAAGGAAATCCGTGGTTCATTGGGTCAGGTCACAGCAATTTTCATCTGCATTGGCGTTTTCACTGGTCAAGTTTTGGGGCTGCCAGAAATATTTGGGCAAGTAAGTACTTAACACATCTTTTCTGTCAAAGAACACAAGTGTGCTTTAAGTGTCATATTTTTTGTATTTTGACTGAGTTCTTTACAAAAGTGGAAAATAGAAACAATGGGGTTTTTTGTTTTGAAGCACTTTGAGAAGTGGTTTCCTCCATGTGTACATATGACTAAGTTTGGTAGATGTGGTCAGCAGTTTTAACAGTTTGAGCGGCTTGTGTGTGTCCATGTGCAGGTCCCCCTCCTCCCCTTTCTTGATGTACATTTATTTTTGATGGTTTACAGTTTCTTTGAGTATCAGGGAAATGCTTAATAGCTTTTACATTTTTGATTTGTGATTTTTCAGTGTGAGATAGAACTGAAAAAGACTTGGTTAGAGTTCATATGAGAACGTGAATAGGAAGACCCTTGCTTAGTGATTAGAGTGTTCCTTTTAATGCACTCTTTCTTTTAGATTATGAGGTGGAAAAGCAGAGCTAATATATACCTTTATGGAAAGATTATCTCTTCAGTTAATAGGTTGTCTTGCTGTCATAGACTGAGATTAACTTGGTGACCACTGGATGTCATCATTGCTCTAAATAAATGAACTCGAGGTTGGTTATGGCTGGTGCTTGGAAATACAGAATCACAGAATTGTTAGAAGGAACCAGAGTGGGTCATCTGATCCAACCAGATACTTTCCTTTCAGAGGTGAATCTTCAATGCAGCGTGGAGGAAATATCTGTATCCTCTCACAGTGAAACCTGAACTCAGAATCCCTTCTGACAGCCAGCAGAAGTAGTAAACTGTTGAAAAGTGAGGAGGGCTTTTCCTCCTCTATCCATCCAAACTCAGCTCCTTTGTAAATACACAATATCATCCTCCCTGACACTTTTATTTTTGTTTGACCAACTCTCTTATTCTGTCCCTTTATCCTGTTAAGCCCTCCTGCAGACAAACAGTTTGATGCAATATACCCTTTATTGAATTATAGTTTTCTCCTCTGTCCCCTCCAAAGCAACAAACTTTAGAAAAAATCTTTAAATGGCTTTTACTGACCTTCCTTGGTGGCTTCTACAGAGCTGCCTTCTCTTGCTTTGGAAGTTAGTCTGTTGGAAATGAATGTATGAAATGTCAAGAGGCCAATCAGATTGTTTAGAATATATGTCAGCCCTAATGTAGTAGGTGGGGTTTTTTTATTTGGTTTTTTTGGGGTGTTGGTTTTTTTTTTAAACATGCATGCACTTTTAAAGGTGAGGTGTCATGTGAATTCTTTTTCCCTCTTAGGTCTTTGGGATATTTCGAATAGGAAATACTTATTCCTTTGTTTCAGCTCATTCTTGCTGTTTTTATTTCTCACCTTCCTTTCATCCCCATTGTTGCTGCTACCAAATTATGGAGATTGCTTCTACAACCTGCTTTAGTATGAAGTTAATTAATATTACGCTATTAAAGATAGACATTAATTAATTTATGTAAGAAGAAATACACTTTATCCGTAGAATTAGTTCTTTTCAAGATAGATAACATCAGCATGTTGGCTGATGTGAATTAGCGTATTTCCAGAAAAATTATTGGAAGCAGCTTGAATTTTCTAGTTGGGAATGTGGGTGTATTTTTCCTTTTATCTCTGTTGGTTTCGGTCAAGCCAGGATTTTATTAACTAGCTTTATGTGGTTCCCATTGAACCTCCCTCAGTGGGACGTAGTTTTTGTTTTGTTGCTCTGTGGTTGTTTGTTGGTTTCCTATCAGAATTTGTTGTAAATAATAATAGTTACAAATTCATGTCTTCTGTCATGATTTCGTAAGAGTTTTCTCTTGAGCTCTGTCATTTATTTATCACTTGTAAATTGAGCAAATATCTAAGAGATTATTAACTGTAGTATCTAAGCAGTGGTGGTTTTGAAGAAAGGAGGGACAAAACCAGAGTTGGGCATCTTGCCAGAAGAGATTTGTTGGAAGAGGAGTGGACATGAGCAGTGCTTTCAGCATGGCTGGGGTTCTGTCTTGTAAGAGCAGGTAACAGCAACATTGCTTGTGTGGTCAAGTAGAGGGAAGGGAGACAAACTGACTGCACCATGTAAACACAAGGAAGAGAACTGCAGAAGGAATAGAGTGACTTAATCTTAAGGGCAATATGGTTACAAGAATGACTTTTATAATAATTGTGTGAATAATTGCATGCAGAAATTCATCAGAGTGATGTTTGGAACAGACTCCCAGCTGAAGTAGCTTGAGCAGAAAATTTAACTTTTAAATTGGAGCTTGATGCATTCTTGTGGATTATATGAGGTTGTTGCCTTCAGTGGTTCTGTAGAAGTCTCTTCACAGAAAAGGGAAGTGTTTGTGTCAGCAGGGGGGCATAGTGTTAACAAGCATTTATTAACAACCTAAGCGATTACTTCCTCTCTTATCAAATACAAAAGTGCTGCTTTAAATGTGGAATTATGATAAAAATAGCTCTGAAGCTCTGAGTGTTACTTGAGGCAAAAAAAATTAAATCCAATAATGGCAGTAAAATCCAAATACAGGCATTCTTTTAGATTCTGAATATATAGACTTTTATCCTATTTGTCTCCAAAGGTACTAATTTTAGAGTACCAAGTCTGAAGAATGTTCTCCTTTAGCATGCAATGCTTAGCAAGAGTGATTATCTGAAGGAGAAAAGCTGGAGCTGTGACAGTGCTGCAGTGACTTGATATTCTTTCTTTCTTTCCACTGCCTTAATTCCCTCACATACAAATATCCCAGCAGTGCTTTTTATTCAAGATTCTGATTCTTGTAGGCCATAACTTATGGAAAACTATATCTGCTATGTCTCCACTGAGGTTTGGTAAATTACACAGTCATAAAGCCAGCTGGTGATCAGAGCACAGAGCATGACAACTTTACATGCTGGTGACCTGCTTCTCTCCACCATGCTGACTGCTGAGAGCTGAGTGCTTGTTTTCATGTGCTAGCATCTTGATTTAGTGTTCTGTAAGCCAGAGTTCTTAATTCTTCAAGATGCCATGGCAACTATAAATGACAACTTGGTGCAGGCCCACAGGTGTGCAGAGATGTTGTCTGCTGTAATGTGAGCACCAAATTATTGCTACTGGCTACAGGATTATTTAATTTTTGGTTGTATTGCGTGTGCAGTTTTCCATGTATCTGACTGAAGGAAAAAACAGACATTAAGATAAGGAGGTCTCAGATCTGTCAACTCTTCAAACACTGCCCTTCAGGTGTTTCCATTCTCTCTGTTTCTATGATTCTACAATTGAATCACCCAGCCCATTTTTCCTAAAAGATTGATCCCTGCAAAGCAAAGACCAGTGCATTGTCAAATTCAGTTTTGAAAGTTCAAATTTACACTTACTGTCTTGGGGGAATATTATCTGGCCTGATTATGGCAGATACATGTAACTCTAGGTATCATTCTATCTCATCCAGTTTCTCCTGCATGTAATGTCCTGCTCTACAGGTTTTCCTTAGCATGAAAACATCTTTTAAATTTTATAAACCACAAGACTATCTCTTCTATTGGTTCATTTGTTTAATGAAGGTAGGCTTTAATCTTTCCTTAAATGATAGAGGATTTAGTTTATGAATACTTTTTCAGTAGTTACAATGTTCATATTTTTTAATATACCTAGAGCCTCAGTATCTCTTTCATCTGTGTATAGATACAAGAAAGGGGAGAAAAAAAAATGTTATGGTATGTGTATGTATTCAGGGCAGGTAAAGCTGAAACTGTTGCCTGTTGCCAGGTTTTCCTCAGACTTCTGCTTTGAGCCCCCTTTCCTGTGCGTGGTGTGTAAAGCTTTGCCAAGCTGCAGTTGTTTTCTCTGGAGCTGGCCCCAGTGGTTGGCTGGCTCTGGCTGCTTCTCTGACCAAACAGCTGTTTGCCATAGGTAGGCCAACAGAAAAATAGAATTTTTTAGCTTTACTTCAGCAACCCTATTTTATGGACTTCAAGTGTTTCTAGGTAATGCACCCAGGAGCTTGTCTAACTACATTGTTGCACTGTTTCACAGTGGATAGCATGTCATCCTAAAAACCCTGCTTTGCTTGCATCCTAAGACTTACTGAATAAACCCTAATACTGCTGTAAGTGTTTCCGGGGGGAAAAAAAAGTAGTGTAAACAGAAAACATAAAATTCCTGGTGTGTCCATCTCCTGAATGTTGCAAGTTGTTTTGGTCACTCTGTTTTAAAGGGTCAAGCAATACAAGATACAGAAGGGAGTAGCAATTATCAGAGGTGGGAAGTGGCTTATTGAGGAGAAGTCAGGGTTAAACAGTTCTTATGGGTAACCCCATGCTGGGGAAACACTCAAAGCAATGAAAAACAAAGTACACCTGAGAAGACTCAGAATTTGCCTTAAAGTGACATGTTGTCTTTTCTAGACTTTTCTCAATCTTTCTTTAAATACATTTGGAATTTATTATGTTGCAAAACTTTGTGTAAGTGGTTATGGTTATGAACTGTGTTAATTAGACATTGTCTTTGTCATAGAAGGAACATGAATTCATTTTAAATTACACTTTTTTTGAGGATTTTGAACAGCTTTAATACAGCTTTAATACATATCTGGCTAGAAATTACCTGTTTTTAAAAAAAGGAGTTAGCTGGAAATAGGTCCGTGACATATGGTGGCAATGACCAAACTGTCCTCCACACAACTGATTATTTTAGCAAAGAAATTCTGTTACTGATATAAATATCAAAATCAATTTCTGCAGTAAATTGAGCTAAATTTGGAAAGGGAAAATGAACTTCATAGACACTGTACTATGTATCTAATAAGGAAGCATTTCTGTGATTAGTCCCTTTCAAGTTAGTTCTTTACATGAGTGGACCTTGCAAAGAAATATTTGTGATTTTTTTAAAAAACATCAACTAAAAACTTCTGTAGGTACTGTGTTAGACTCTAATTTTTCTTAACAGACCTCTTAGAAATGATGTGTTTAATGTGATAGATAGTTGTGTATTTGGGAATGTTTATATAGGAATTTCTCATTTTGCTTTATCACATTCTTTT